TTGGAAGAGCCAGCCCAGGACATATTTTACAATACTCCGACTGTATTCGTCTGAAAGAAGAAAGTCATATACACCTAGGATGACTTGAGGGTGAGTAAATCATGGGGTACTTTTCATTTTTGGGAGAAATATCCCTTTAAAATTAGAATCAAGTAAAATCAAGAAATCGCTATTTTTCAGCCCTATAGCATCTATTGTCTTTTTAATATCGTGAGAGCAGAAGGAAAAGAAAAGGCCAATAATTTTTAATAATGCTAAACTAAACCAGGAATGACTATTTGCACCAGAATCTCGTTACATATTAAATACGTAGTTGAATGCACATTTGCATTTATGTTGTCTTCAAATCTGTTCAAAATCCCTACAAGACCACCTCCAAATGTGGTTAATGCTTTTAAAAGTCTGACCCAAATCCGTAACCCTAATTAAGAGCAATATTAATAGTGATTCTTGCCATACCAAACACCACTAATGAATAAAAAACAGTTCCAGATGACTGGATACCTTATAGAGCAGAGGCAAAACTCATTTGCAATATGAAGTTCCGCATTCACCTTCTTTCATTCTACCCAAAAAAAAAAAACAGTTACACTCTCTTTGAACCTGAAATGCAGAAATATGCCTCAAGTCAATCGCCTTCATGTAAATGTAAGAAAAGTCTGCAGCAGAGAGAAGTTGATATTCCAGTATGAGTTCTGGCGGCCCTCCCCCCGCTGCTCTGAAAGGCTGACCTTTGACCTCTGTACTGAGAATGAATCCTCTGGCCCGGGCCACGCTGTCAGAGTAGCCGTTCTGATCCAGACTAGTGCTCTTGAACCCCAAGCCACCCTGACGAGAACACGGTGACAGAATCAGAGCTTCAAGGGTGTGTATGTTCTGTCATCGATAATAAACACTCCTCTTTTTAGTTTCCTCAAAGCATTCGCATCTCCCACCGAGAGGGGAAGGACTGACTGAGCAGGGCCTTTCACCTTTAAAGGTCAGGGCATAGAAGCCATCCTATCAACTGAAATCAAGGGTACATGCGGGGACTTTGGGAAAAGCTGTGAAGAGAAGAAAAGAAACCCAAAGCTGTTTTGGTGCACTTCTGTAAACAGTCAGTGTCAAAAACAGCAAGTTAGGAAGGTTATAGTGACACATATGAGCAGTGTCAGAGAAAGTTACTTTTAAAAGTAATGCATTGCAATATTGCGCTACTCCTTAAAAAGTAAATCATTGCGTTACTTAGTTACTCTTTATGGAAAGTAATGCAAGTAAGGCATTCACGTTAAGTTTGGTCACATGGGCTGGGCTTGCTTATTTGTTTTTTAATAAAAAGAAAAAAAAGCCAGTTATATTTTTGGCAACTTATTCTGCACCTCATTCATAATTTCTCTCAACACAGGGACAAGAGAGGAGTCAGTGAATAAATGGGAAAACAAAGTTTTCCTTTACTTATTTAAAAAAGTAACTCAGATATTTCCTTGAAAATTTTAAAGTAATGCATTACTTTACTAGTTATTTTAAAAAGTAATCTGATAATGTAACTTGTGTTACTTGTAATGCGTTATCAATGCAACTCTTAGCAGTGTAGATTAGCGCTTGTTGTTTGTCGTTTCTCCGATCACAAATGCAGACATGGTTTTATGTTTACGCGGCGCAATGCGATACGCAACGCAACGCGATACGCAACGCAATGTGTAAAAACACAGTATAAGTCATTATAATCAGTAATTATGTCCCCACTGGATGCAACAAATGCCTCGTTTGTAATGGGTTTTATTGGTTTTGTCTCGTCGTGCCGGGAGACGGCATCACAGTATGTTAAGGGGCGTAACATTTCCGTCACACGCTTGAGGTATTCGGCCAATCACAACACACTGGATAGCTGGCCAATCAGCGTACACCTCGCTTTTCAGAACGATGAGCTTTGTAAAAATCGACGCATTTCAGAAAGGCGGGGCATAGAGGAGCAACAATAATGTACATTATGTGGAAAATAATGTGTTTTTTTAACCTTAAACCGCATAAACACATTGCATTACACCAAATACACAACATAATGTTCTTTTTAGCAACGTCATATGAAAACACACATGCCACGTTCTTATGTTCTTCAAACATATTTCCTTACATCTTGAATAGCCTACATATGATAGTTTCAGATGTTTTGGGGGAAAAATAAGTCAATAAGTTAAAAAGAAAAATCTGATAAATTGACTTATTAGTATTACTATTATTATTTAAATGATTTTAAATAAGGTAAGGATAACGCTGAGAAAATCTCTGACATTACTTGTTTGCATTAGATGATAATGCAATTAAATTCATACATTTTTAAATCTGGCTTTACCACATTTTCACACAGTATATTGTAGTTTCACATAACTCCTTATTGCAAACATTATGAAAGCATTTTTTAATGCTTGATTTAATTTTCTTCCATTAAATTGCTCTCATTACTAAAATCACATTTTAAAATAATTATATTTGTCAAGGTCTGTATTTTAGCTGTTTATGGAGGCAACACTCTGCGAAACTGAATGGAATGAAAGACACTGCTGATGTCAGAGTACTAAAAAAAGAAAGAAAAATAACAAGACAGAAATCACATAATAAGCTCCAATCTAGGCAACAAATGCAGCTCTAAAGGGTACTTGCAAAAAATGTATGTATATATATATATATATATATATATATAACAATATATGACTTCATTTTCTTTTAATTATTGACCAATTTATTGTATTTTATTGCTCTTTGTAAACAGACCCGATCAATGTGGTTAGAAAATGTCCAGATGTTGTACTATCCACATGCAAAAAACATATCAATGCCAGGAGTAAAGTGGGCCATAGACTCTTGGGTTGGGTTCTTTCGACTTGGACCAGTAAGAGACCAAATGCAATCATGACAGACAAGAGATCTGTCCCATCTCAAAGCTGCATCACGCAAGGCCTACCTGTCACCAACATCCAGTGTCTGAAAGCCACACACAGGATCTGTGCCTAATCAATTATACATGAAGCAAACAGAATCAAATCAATTAGGTATTGCTGTGGCATGAATGAAAGGTGCATAATTGATGCCCGCTCTCCTGCTTTATACATATCTGTCTGCAAATCTCCACGTACCGCTTCCGAGAGAGAGTCAAAGAGCACCGAGGCCACATTTCACCACTTTATTCACTTAATCTACTCATTTGCCTTGGCATGAGCCGGACGTGGAGACTGATCTTCAGCTGAAAAGGATCTCTAAGGGTTTCAGTTTTGCCATTAAATAAGAAGGCCACAGTTACCACAGGATGCAAACATCCAGATATTTTCCATCGATGTCAAGATATCAACTGGATCGGATCATATTGTGGCAAGAAAAGTCAATATTGGAAAAAAACGGCTTCTGGAGGAACTACTCATCATGAGTGGGCATGAGAGTATTAGATGAGGTGAGAGGCAGAGATTTCGGGGTCCATTTCTCTCTTTATATTCTCAGGGCGTCTAGACAGATGGCAGACATTAAAAGAAGGAGCCATGTGACATATCTCAACCGCACCGCTGAGATAGAGGTAATTAAAATACATTTAATCAAGTTACTCTAATGAAAAATGCAGCTGGACACCCGGTTCCACCTTCTGCTCCCACTGTCACACTTAAATTCTCTAACTTTTGGCCCCCTGTATACCAGAAAACTGCACTCACAATAAGGGTTGTTTTTTTTTGGCTTTACATATAAAGTGGGGCTGGGTACCATTGACTACATCATGATACAGCACACATCACAATATACATGTCATGATTGCATTTAACAGTCAATCAAAAGTGGGTAACAACTAGCAAATGAAGGATATACCACCTGGTTTAAAACCTGATCATATTCATGAGCCAGGGTGATGAGGTTTAGCAGGAAATCTTAAAACGATGTTTTCTAAACCTGGCAAAGTCATTGCAATTGGAACGAGAATGATTAATAATGTTGAAATGTATGGAAATTCCTGTAATGAATCCATTTGTCTCTTTATGCTCTTTATGCTCTAAATATTGCTTGTGCAAAGTAAAACTTGCTTGCAACCAACAGTGACTCTGACTGGTGAGTGTTTTTACTCTTTTAAATTAAAGATTCACAAATCAGTCTAAATGATTCATTAGCAAATTCATTTGAATTTGAATTACCTTATCAAGTTCGTATATATAGGAGGATCATGGAAATTCATTGGTCAAAAACTGTTGGAACAAACACCAACCCTAAACTTGACCTTATAACCTTTTGGTTGAATGGAAAAATGTTCAGGAACATGTCCTAATTAGTAAAATCAAGGTACAAGAAGTACATTTAAACCTATATATTTAAAATATAAATGTCTTTAATTTGTTATTGTATTAGCAAATGGAAATGTCTTAGGTACAACATTAAAGGCTTTTGGGGTGATTGTTTAATAATGGGACAAACTAAAAAAAAATGATCAAAAGTTACTGGGGCCTTTTATTAATACTATGGAATAAAAAAACAACATTAATAGTAGTAATACTAACAATAATTTAAAATAATACAAAAATAATAATATAGGCCTATTATAATATAACATAAATAACAGCAAAAATAATTAATTATGAATAGTCGTTTGATAAGGAACAAAACATTTCTACAGTATACATAAGGCCTTATTTTAATAGTAAATAATAATAGACTGACATTTCAACATTTAACCACGTTTTTCACTCTAGCCTTAGCATGTCTGAATTTATGAGATTATTTCCATTAAACTCATTGCCTCATACTGCTGAGCAAGACATATTTTCCGAGCATCAAATGCAACTACTGATTTGCATGACGCTGTCACAAAAATAACGAGTAATGTTTACATTCGCCTGACGCGCTGACATAGTTCGTGACATAAACCATCTATCACCTCAATACATTTACATAAACACCACATGCGTATTATTAAACACGAATTTAAAGAGACCGTGATCACACCACCCAAATTACATCTCACACCGTCCACACAAAACACATGCACTCACCTTCCGTGTCGAGGAGGAGACACTGACTGTGTGGGGGATTTTGGGAAGCGTAGTTTTTTAAGCTCTCGCGGGAGCGCAGTCTAATGCGCCACAAAACTACATTTCCCATTATGTTGTTGTTGCTGTCAACATATTCAGGATGTTCGAAGTACAATTACATGTTATTAGTCATATACGTCTTGTACGTTGTTTTACATTACGTTTCAGTGCCGCTGTATTATAAAAAAATGTTTTGTCATTGAATACACTAAAATAGAGTGGAGTGGAATGTAACAATAAAAGGCCATTAGATGCATGACCATATCTCACATTAAAACATTGAGTAAGTAGGACCTAAATGTGTTATGATATGATATGTATCTAGTTATTTTGTTTACCTCGGGATGGTGGTGCTCATATAATTCACCCCCTGTGTCTTATTTCTGATTGATTAAACCAATGGTGTTACAACTCAGGTCTTGACTTCCTTTAGGTTGTCGCTAAAAACATCAAGCTTAGACATCCAGAGGCTACTTCTAGTATCCCAGAAGTCATTAGGTTTCCCATATGCAGTGAACCGATTGATTATTGTAGAGAAATTGATTAGCTGACTTAATTAGAATGGACAGTTGATTTAGCTTTAAAACTAGGGGGAAACCTCCCTAAGGAACATTACATGACTATTAATTAAACACTTAGTTAAACTTAGCCACCAAAGACATTTTGTACTAATCTAAAAAGAGTCAAAGATAGTGTGCTGGCAGCTGCAAAGTTTATGAGGCCTTTTATAGCTATGAGTAATACATTTTCAGTAAAGCGAAGGACAGAGTTATTGTTATACCGCATATGACATTAAGAGTCGGACTACAGTGAAAAATGGCATGAATGGCATATTTAGGGTTTGTTTGTTGCTCGCTTCGTATCGAGTGGGATATTGATTTACTGTCATGCAGATGTTGGATAAATGGGGCAACATCTGGATATGACACAATGACTTATCATAAAACTGCACTCTCATTGGCAGCTGTTATTTCCCCTCCTACCGGCAGCCATTAGCTCGCCGTTCTATTCTTAAATTTAATATATTAATTCAAGTGGCTCCGACAGCAAATATATGTCAGAGTTTAAGTGGATTCCTGGAAGCCATAGCTATAGTAGGCTAATAATAATACTAATAATAACAATAATAACAGACGCTGAAGACACATTCTTCTTTAATATGACAATACATCTATTTAATGATTTTCTGACTTGGCAAAACAAAAAAAAAGTCCCTAATTTAATAGGAAAGAATCATTTTAAACAGTGAGACAAAAGAGTCATGTGGAGCTCCAACCCAATATTTTAAAATATCGAAACATACAAACGAGATTATACAAAATCATACAAATTGACTCTTCACCGGGAGTTTGATTGACAGGCGATTTGACCAGTCATAATGCAGAATCTGCTATTTTGTCTAACAAACAAACCAGACAGGAGAGTAGTTTAACGTCGGTGGACTTGAACTCGAAAAATGGTGTGTATTGACGTCTATCTGTGATTGAAACAAAATACCTTCTGATGTTCAATCATATTTATTTTAGGAAGAGATGATCAGATCACGTGCCGCTTGTACTGTACTGAGGCAATACAGCAATCTGTCACGACACATTAAAGGAGTAGTTCACTTCCAGAATGAAAATTTACTGAAAATGTATTCACCCCCATATCATACAAGATGTTCATGTCTTTCTTTCTTCAATCTCAAAGGAAAATATTACAGGAATGTTCTCCATATAATGGAATTCAATGGTGGCCAATGGATTGAAATTCCAAATTGCAGTTTCAGTGCAGCTTCTAAGGGCTCTATACGATCTACTCTACTTATCTAGTAGAGTAATTAGCCATTTTCTTAAAAAAAAAAAATAATTTAATATTTTTACAAATTATATATTTTTTAAACACAAATTCTCGCGATGCGCATGCGCGTCTTCACACATTGCATAATCACATTGGAAAAGTCACGCGTGGTTAGTTTTTCATCAGTGTACTTCGGTTCAAAAAGATAGAGTAGAGCGTAAAACTCCATTTCCTCCTGCAACTTCAAAATCATCCGACATCGTTGTTTTACCTTTTTTTGTAAAGGGTGTTTGACTTTCTTTCCACATTCCCTTTGTAAATGTCACGAATCCGGTCTGTGGACTTCCGTCCGATTGCCACCAGAGGTCGCCCTTCCATTATATTGACTGTCACACTACACAGACTGTTTCATGTAACCTTGGACTACATTTCCCATCTGCCATTTCACTAATCACATGCTCACCTGAAACCAATCACACACACTATATAACACCCACTCAGATCCTGTTCAGATCGCCGAGTATTGTTAGTGCTTATCGCTACGTCAGTGATAGCTACATTACGGAGCCATTCCTGGTATTCTAGTCCTGTCAAGTTTCGCGTGTTTTCGGATATCTTGCCCTCTTTGGACTCTGTTTAACCCTCGCTTGAACTATTGCCTGTGTTTTCAGATTGCCCTTTGGATTACCCTGTTTGGACATTGTTCGCCAGAGATCGACCACGCCTGTTTACTGGACTAATATTTTGTCTTGCCCATGATATGCCTGTTTGCCAGTGACTGACCCTTGCCTGTTTTGTAACCACGTTGTGAAATAAAGTTCTGCAGATGGATCCGAACGTCTCTCGTCTCGTTCGCCCCGTAACAGAATACTCGGCCACACAAGGATCCAGCGGCTTTCCTGAAAAATACTGACCAGGTATGGACATTGCAAGACAATTATTAGCCCTCAAGCAGGGCACACAATCGCTCGAGGGCTATATTCTAGAATATCTAGACATTACTAAATGTTAATATTGCTAAATGCTAAATATTCTGATTTTCCGGATTGTGTCCTGATCGATTTTTTTTGTGACGGCATTAACCAGCCATTAAACTCTCGACTGATCCGTGACGGTCCTCGAGCTACACTTAGTCCATTTTTGGACTATGCGTTATTGTCTGTTGGCTCATCTTTTACTGTGGGTGTCGTGGAGGAACATGACACCGAGTCCCCTCATGTAATGGCAGCCGCACCAGAGCGGGCTCACAAAATGGCGTCGAAAACAAAGCCGTGTCATGCTACTGCTGTCTTTCCTGAGTCAAGTCAAGTCACGGCTGATTTTCCTGAGTCAAGTCAAGTCACGGCTGATTTCCCTGAGTCAAGTCACAGCTGATCTTCATGAGTCAAGTCAAGTCACAGATTAACTTTCGTCCTGTTCTGTTCCGGCCAAGGAGGCCATCTATGAACTCACTACCTGTCCGGTCACGGCTATGAAGGCCGTCTGTGAACTCTCTGCCAGTCCTGTAACAGCTATGGAGGCCGTCTGTGAACTCTCTGCCTGTCCTTTCACGGCTATGGAGGCCATCTGTGAACTCTCTGCCTGTCCTGTCACAGCTATGGAGGCCGTCTGTGAACTCCCTGTTTGTTCTGTCATGGCTACGGAGGCCATTTATGAACTTTTGTCCTGCTCTGAACCAGCCGAGGAGGCCATCTCTGAACTCTCATCCTATTCTGAACCAGCCATGGGGGTTGATTGTGAAATGTCTATCCGTCTAGTTTCAACTAATGTGTCTGATTTTGAACTATCTTTCTTGCCAGTCTCAGTCAATGAGTTAAATAATGAACTGTCTGTCCATCCAGTGTCAACCCATGAATCTGTTTCTGAATTATCTGTCTGTCCACTAATTTCAAGTAATATGTCTGATGAACCTTCTGTCGGTCCTGTTTCAGTCAATGAGTCTGATTTTGAATTATCAGCCTGTCCAGTTACCATTAATGCTCTTGATTTTGAACTATCTGCCCTGTTTTAACGAATTAGTCTTACTGTGAATTGTCTGCCGGTTTAGTTTGTTTAGTTTCAATGTCTACCAGTCCAGTTTCAGTCAATGCACCTGGTTTTGAACGGTCTGTCTTTACAAACTTTACAAATGAAGCTGATTTTCAACCATCTACCTATCTGGTTTCTGTTAGCGATAAGTCTGATTTTGAACCACCTATCTGTCCAATGTTAATTAATGAGCCTGAGGGTGAGTTATCTTCCTGTCGAGTTTCTGTCACTGAACTGTCAGCTTCAGCTTCTGTCAATGCCCTTGATTTTGAGCTATCTGCTAGGCCTATTCCAGCCAATTCAGTTGATTTTGAACTGTCTGTCCAGTTACATTCAGTGGACCCGGTTATGAACTATCTGTCTTGCCAGTTTCAGTCCATGAGTCTAATTACCTACTGTATCCCTAATGTATCTGATTTTGAACTGTCTGTCTGCCTAGTTATCTTCAAGGAGACCAAAACTGAACTTTCAGCTCTATCAGTCACTGCCTATGAGTTTGTTAATGAACCCTTTGTGTTGCCTGCCTCGGTCATTGGGGCTGTGAATGCTCTGTCTGTTCCCTATGTTTCAGCTCTTCTGGCATCTTCTACTTGGTCGTGGTGGTCTTCTGCTCCGTCTGCTCCTCCGTGGTGGTCTTCTGCTCCGTCTGCTCTGGTATGGTGGTCTTCTGGTCCGTCTGCTCCGCTATGGTAGTCTTCTGTCCTGCTCTGGTGGTTTTCTGCTCCTCCGTGGTGGTTTTCTGTTCCATCTGCTCCGCTGTGGTGGTCTTCTGTCCTGCTCTGGTGGTCTTCTGCTCTGCCGTGGGGATCTTCGGACCCGTCTGCTCTGCTGTGGTGGTCCTCAGCTCCACCTGCTCCACTCTGGCTCCCTGCTCCGCCCTGGCTTCCTGCTTCGCCGGCTCCACCCTGGTTCTCTGCTCCGGCCTGGCTTCCTGCTTTGCCGGTTCTACCTTGGTGCCCTGCTCTGCCGGCTCTGCCTCAGTTCTCGGTCTCTCCACTTCCACGTGGACCTGGCCCTCCGTCCCTCCCCCTGTTCCGCC